TAGTCATTTCCAGTGACATTCTTTTGCTGTTAGAATTACCTTCAGGAAGCATTCAACAAATACTGAATTACTGAGTGTCTGTGAGGCTGGAACAGAGGAAAGGAGATGTGACCTTTGCTTCTCAGCAATTTACAGTCAGCATTAAATGAACTTGGAATGCGCTTAGATGGCACTAAGAATTTACTTTTGAAAACAAGCTTTAAGATTTCTTCTTCTTTAAAGAATGTCTATATTGTTGAGAATTGCAACTTGTCACTGGACATAGCTCAAGTTATTCCTTGTTTTTATTTATTTATTTATTTATTATTTTACTTCACTTTCTTTTATACATTCAATCACATTATTATTTGGCTTACAAAATGGATATTTCAACACGTGAACATTTCTCCCTAGTACAGTTGATAAAACTACAAAATATCTTCAACAGATAATACCACATTTCTTTGTGCCATTAATGCTTTGCCACCTTATTTTTCTTCTAAATGTTCTCCCTCAGACCCTCCTCTTTCACACACACTATATCTGGTATTTATATCTATATACTGTGTTTCTATATCCTTTAGTCAATCAGTTTCAGTCATAGAGTGCAGACGCTTGGTATAAAGTGGGGACATACAATGCCTCTTCTTCATAGCCTGACTTGTTTCAATCAGCAGTAAATCTTCCGTATTCATCTACTTCTTGTCAAAAGCCAGGATTTTTTTTAAATGGCTGAACAGTTTTCCATACAGTATATGTGCCACAGTAAAGGCTGAGGAGATGCGAGCAGAAGTCACTCAGGCTTTTAGGAAAGCTCTTTCAATGACATTTATTTAGGTGGTGGGTCCTCTTTTGTTCTTCTCATTCTCTGTTTCTTCCTGTTATTAGATATGATGGCTGGTGCCACTGTGATTATATTGTACCAAGAGGTAGCCTTGAGGAAGGCAGAGCAGAAAAATGAGTATGGGAAATTAAGGATGTCATGGTATCACCATACTAGCCTGAGAGAGTCTACTTGCACTTTAATGTAGGAGAAACTATACCTCTGTATTGTTTAATACAGTGCTATTTTCAGAGTCTATTATTTGCAGTCAATCATACCTCTCTAATAACAGATCTTTGAAACAGATAAAAAAAATACATTTTTCCTGTGGAGATGGAGGGTCTTGTCAAATAGAATTAAAAAAACTCATATATTCCCAATAATCATATAGCCCTATGAATTTCCTAATAAATGTTCTAATAGATGTCATAATTTATATAAGACAAGATCTTATCCCGCTCCCCCTTTTTTTGAGAAAAATTTTTGCTATAGAGCATGTGTGCTTGTGGGAGAACGGAGAGACAGGAAGCGGGAAACCATCCCCCAGGGGCGTGGGGGAGAGATGGCCATGACACAACCTCTTCTCTTTCGTTCTCCTCTTGGGATTTTGGGCAGACATGCACGTGTGCCTGATGGAGTTTGAAGCCACCAGGTCCGGGTCTTGAACCACGGTCAACTACATGGCCTCTTGTTCAGAATTCCTTTTTCCTCGAACTTTAAAGTCTCCCATATATTCATAATTCACAGATTATTTTAAAGGATAGAGTAGACTTTCAACATATGGGGGAGATGCCCTTTTGGATAAAAATGTCCTTCAGCGCTCACTTTAAAAAAAATTATTTTTTTTAGAGATTTTTGCCACAGGGCACATGCATTTTCTGGAGAGAGAGAGAGAGAGAGAGAGGGAGCGAG